AAGGCCACAGCGCCCTCATCTGGGATTTGGGATGAGGACGCGTGGGATACAGCCGGAGATGCGCAGAGCATCTCTGCAGCCCAGACCCGGCCCCGGAGCCTCAGGCCCGGCCGCTACCTGATGTCTCCCTGTGAAAACCCGAGGAGTGGGTCACCACAACGTACCTACGAGGAACCTCTGGATTCTCCTGCAGCCCCTTCACCTGCCCAGGCCGGTGCTTCCATTTCAGCCTGGGTGCGTTTGTGAAGTTAGAGGTCAGGTTAGCGGACGTGTGCTGGCAGCTGCGGCAAATACATGACCAGCATCGCACACCGCGGGCTTGCTCCCTCGTCGTGCCCTCCCGTTCAGGCTGGGCGCTCGCAGGGAAAATGTTCCTCCACATGTTTGCCGGGGGCTCCGTCCCTGGCGTGGAGCTGCATCCTGCCGACTGGGCTTCCTCCTGCAAAGGCCGGAGAGGTGCACAGTGGGCAACCGGCCCAGCTGGCCTAACCTGGCCGGAAATGACAGATGTGACCCATCCACAATCCAGCACCCACAAGGCAGGCCCTGCCTGGGCACGGAGTGTGAATGGAACACAGGCCTGCAGGCCCCGCCTGGCCATGGAATGTAGCTGGAACAAGGCCTGCCTCTGAGGTGCCTTGAGACTTGTCCCCTTAATAACCACATAATGTAACATACCAGTCAATTCCACAGGATTTTCTCCAAGATGTGTCTTGAACATCTGCATTTCTCCCCACATTCTCTGCCTCTGCACTTGCCCAGTGTCCCTTCCTTCACTCTGCCATTTTGCTAACTTTCCTCTTTACAGAAGACGTTATGCAGTGGTCCTCAGCTGGAGGCATCGTGCCCCCAGGGGACACTGGATAGGCCTCGATCGGTTATTTGTCATTGTAACTAAAGAGGAAGTGCCCACTCCCAGTGCGGGGAGGGCAGAGATACAGAGAGCAGCACCTCCCGCATCCACAGGCCTGGCAGGTATCCTGGCCAACACAACAGCCAGGGTTCAAGGGGCAGCCCCTGGGCTAGCTCATTTTCTCACAACACCTCCCAGTGACTTCTTACTGCTTAAAGAATAAAATCTGCAATCTTTTCCCGGGTCTACAAGCCCCTGCCTTGTGGGATTCTCCCACTCCAACTTTGTTGACCTCCCTGCCATGCATGAGGTGCCGTCTAGTTGATGCAGCTTTCTCAGGTGGTATGTGGCTGGATAGGATTCAGAACCTCTGGGTCTGCCAAGACCTCTGCCTGGAGAGCCTGTCTGCTTCTGGGCCCTCACCATCTGCACAGCCCTGCTTGGACATTCCAGTCCGAGGGGCCTTCCTCCTGCTTCAGTGCTTTGTGTCCTGGTCATTTCCTTTCCAGCATTTAGGCCAAGCAGAATCATCTGCTTGATTTATTTGTTTACTTGTGTTATGCTGATGATCAAGTTCAGCTGCTGATTTCCCAAAGAAGAGTGGATTATTACAATAGAAACCCCAGGAACAGTCACTTCTATGAAAACGCATTTTTCACTCATAAACCTGGGGGTGGGAGTGTCAGGCTGGCTTGGCAGCCCCACGGTTCTGCTGCACTGGGCCCTGTGCGCATGTCCTCATGGAGGCTGCTGGAGCTCCTGCCATTGTTTATTCATTCAAGCAGTAGGAAGAGACAAGGTCCAAGAGCAAAGTGGTGCCTGCTGGTTGGGCTTGTCCCCCTTTTAAGAGAGTCTATAGCAGTCCCACCCTAAAACTTCCACCTACCCCTCTCTTGCCAGAGTACGACACGGGCTATTCCTGTCTGCAACAGAGACTGAGAAAAACAAGTTTTCAGATGTGCAAATTGCTGCCTGGGAAATAGCAAACACAGACCTTATTAGTGAGAAAAAAGAAAATGGCCACAAATTGTTTTTGTCTGGATTTCTGTCTGAAATTTATGCTCTCGGAAGAGAGAGTTCAAATTGTTCCCCCCTAGATCTCTGGCACTTCACACAGTGTCTGGAACATGCCAAATTCTCAATGAACCTTTGTTAGAGGCAAAAGGAGATTTCTCATCTGCCCCTGTGGGTTTTTCACTTAAGACTCCGATACAGCCTCAGAATTCTCTGCACACAGGCAGTCAGACTTGGCCCTAGGGACTGCGATTTTTTCACCATATTTGCTGTTGCTGGTTTTTTAAAAAGCACATCTGGGGCAGTGAAGTGGCACCAGAAGCTTTGCCAGTGGCTGGAGCAGCGAGGACCTCCCAGCTGCTCTGTGCAGGGGCCTCGCAGGTGCAGGACAGAGGGTCTTTGAAGGCACTTTTCACTCCCACCCGAGAGAGGCGTCATTAGGTTGACTGTTCACTGAAGGGTCCCGCTGGACAGACTTAGCAAGTGAACTTCCAGTAGGTTTGTGTTTTCAGATTGACGTGGGTTTAGGCATTCTGGTTCAATTGTCTTATACATGTTTTCGGGGCTGGTTCAACTTGATGCTGCGGTCAGAAGGACAGCCCCTTATTGCCTGGGCCCCTCCCCTGGGAAGGTGCTTGGCACTTCCTGGCCTCCTCTGGACCCTGGGCTTCTGAGCTCTCCCCTCTGAGCCAGGCTGCTGTCTGCTCTCACGATATCTGTGGTCTGTGCCCCTCCTGCAGGACTCTTCTGAGATTTGCAGTTTGCATCAGCATAGACCCAGCAGTTACAGTCACACTGGGTGTCTAAATGGGACCCACTGGGCACCTGTTCCTGGGCCCTGCGTGGTCTGTCTGCTTCACCACAGACACGCCGCTCCCCGGCGCTGGAGATCAATGCATCTGCGCACACAGGTTACAGGCAGAGGCTCCGTTCAGTGAAGGAAGGGCCGGGCAGCTCTGCCCAGGTTTGCACAGGCCTGGGGCACTGGGTGGGGGAATTTGTGGTGTGACCTGGCTCTGCCACCCACCATGCTGCTTCTTCCACACCCCAGGGCTGCTGGTGATAAGGGGTCCAGCCTTGGCCTTGTGGCCCTGATAGTAACATCTGAAGCAGTATGTGTATTAATCTGCTGGAGCCGCCATGACAAAACACTACAGGCTTTGGACTGAGCCACAGGTGTTTACTTCCTCGCAGTTCTGAAGGCGGGAAGTCCAGGACTAGGGGCTGGCCGGGCGGGTCTTCCTGGGTGTCTCTGCAGGCTGTGGGCTGCGGGTGGGGCGGGGCCGTCCCCCGTGTCCTCACGTGGACCCCTCTGTGCCTGCCTGATGCCCCTCTGTGTGCCCTCCTCTCATGGGCCGTTTCCAAGTACAGTCAAGCTCCGAGGGGACCTGAGGCCACAGTGCAGCCCATGGTACTGAGCAAGGCTAGAACTGGAGGTGTCAGGGACATGGGTGTGGGGGGACACGGATGTGGGTGGGGGACATGGGTATGGGGGACATGGGTATAGGGACATGGGTGTGGGGGACACGGGTGTGGGGGACATGGATATGGGGACACGGGTGTGGGGGACACAGGTGTGGGTGATAGGGAAACAGGCTGAGCCACTTCAAGGCCCTGTTCAGCTCTCATGTCCAGGAGCCAAGTGGAGCCCAGGATGGCTTCTGGCCAGTGAAGACCTGTGCGGGGGGAATGGGCAGTGTTGCCCAGGCCCTGAGGTGGCAGCCCTTCTTGGAGGGCTTTGGGGAGCATTCTTGGCCCAGGGTTTCAGGCTGAGGATCCGGTGGGGGCCGTGGAAGGCTTGGGAAGGACTGAGTTGTCCTTTTGAGAGGTGGGGCCCTGCCCTCACCCAGAGCTGCACTCGCCCATTCATTGTGTGAAAATGAAAGTTCCTGTGAGGAAAATCCATGAGCACAGGGCACAGACTGGTGGGGACAGAGGGACAGAGCAGGGACAGAGGGACAGGGTGGGCACAGAGGGACAGAGCAGGGACAGAGGGACAGAGTGGAGACAGAGGGACAGGGGAACAGAGGGATGGGGACAGAGGGATGGGGGACAGAGAGACAGCACAGGGACATAGGGACAGAGGGACAGGGCAGGGACAGAGGGACAGGGCGGGGCAGAGGGACAGAGAAATGGGGGACAGAGGGACAGGGCAGGGACAGAGGGACAGGGTGGGGACAGAGGGACAGGGGAACAGAGGGATGGGGACAGAGGAATGGGGGACAGAGAGACAGCACAGGGACATAGGGACAGAGGGACAGGGCAGGGACAGAGGGACAGGGCAGGGACAGAAGGATAGGGCTAGGACAGAGGGACAGGGTGGGGACAGAGGGACAAGGCAGGAGGACAGAGGGACAGGGTGGGGACAGGGACAGGGTGGGGACAGAAGGACAGGGTGGGGACAGAGGGACAGGGACAGAGGGACAAAGGGACAGGGCAGGAGGAGAGAGGGACAGGGCTGGGACAGAGGGACAGAATGGGGACAGGGACAAGGCAGGGACAAAGGAACAGAAGGACGGGGACAGAGGGACAGGGTGGGGACAGAGGGACAGGGCAGGGACAGAGGGACAAGACAGGAGGACAGGGACAGGGTGGGGACAGGGACAGGGTGGGGACAGAGGGACAGGGTGGGGACTGACTGAGGGACAAGGGAGGAGGACAGAGGGACAGAGTAGAGACAGAGGGACAGGGAAGAGAGAGAGGGACAGGGTAGGGACAGAGGGACAGGGCGGGGACAGGGACAGGGCGGGAGGACAGAGTAACAGGCTCTCCATGGCCACTGACAAGGGCTGCTGCAGGCGGTGCTGCCTCCACATCTGTGTGGGAGCCCAGCCCATTAGGATAAAAGTTGCATCTTCAGGACATAGCTCTAGGATTCCCTGGGGGTGGGCTCTCCCTGTTCCAGTGTGTCTCCCGACCCAGTCTCCCGACCTGGTCTCCCCACCTGGTCTCCCCGGTCTCTGCAGTGCAGGTTCCAGGGAGGTCCCTGTGGGTGGGGCCAGGGGTGGGGGTGCTGGCCTGAATAGGAATCTGGGCGGGGAGGGCAGCCTGCAGGGCAGAGATGACCACAGGGAGGGCCGGCCTCGCCCTCTGCCAAGTTCCACCTCCACATTCCTCCTTGTCTTCCACTCCCAGTCCTGAGGTCTCAGCTTTCCAGGGAGAAGTGGAGAGGCCAGGAGCCGGGCTGCAGCCAGGGCACAGCCAGATGGACTGAAGTGCCCCACAAGTAAGGGAGTGGGGGAGGAGCTGGGTGTCATCGCGGGCACCTTGATAGCTTGGGGGGCCTGGTCTTCCTCTTCCGGAACTTGTCCATGAAGGTAATGAGCCAAGGAGTGTCTTCTTGATTGCAGGCCAGTAGGCAGAAAGGTTCTCTAATAAACACCTGCGGCGTGCCTGGCCCTCCACATTTGCAGGGAGTGGGGCTCCTCACCTCCCCGGGACAGCCAGGCTCATCCTAGGGACAGGTGAGGCTGAGTCAGTCCTTTATGCAGGGGACCTGGGGCCAGAAAGGGATGGCCTTCACCCAAATCTCTGTGCAACTGCTGAGGTTCAAGGTGATTACTTCCTGAGAAGTGCTCTCAACTCACCTAAAGGGTCACCAAGGCAGGAGGACTCAGGCATGGGTGAGAATCAGCCTGTGTGGATCAGCCCTGGGTTGAACCTTTGCATGTAGCTTGGCAGACTCTGCACTGACGCATGGAGAGTTGGCAGCTCCCTCTTCATCTGAAGGGCTGGGGAGGCACAGTTGCGCACCACCCTGTGGTTACTTGCACCTCCAGGTGTCCAGGGATCTTTCCCCGGACCCCAAGCCCAAGGGGCAGAGCTTTGCCGTGGAGCACATAGTGGAACCTGGGGGGATGAGACGTGACAAGCTGTCTGGTGGAGCAGCTGTGGGATGTGCATCCTCCCGGGAGGACGGGCTTGAATGCCCCTGTGACGTGGAGCTCACTCCTCTGGAGGATTTCTGTTCCTTCCGTGGTGGCAGTCACTATTTGAACATTTAAAAAATTGTTTCAAAAAATATTTTTCCATTACTTCCATTCCTTGGATGACCTGCGCATTTCCCCATAGGATACACCAAACATGTTCGAATCGGGAACATGGCTCTGGCTCTGGTTCATGGGCTTCCAGGGACCATCTTAGAGGTGTCTATGCCCGTTTCTCTGAGAAAAGCTCCCGTAGACATAACTGGGCTCTGGGTGACTCCTTGATCACAGGCTCAGTCCTATGTAGGGGAAAAGCCTGAAGACAGGCACCCGCCCCCTCAGCCTGCAGATGGCCTCCCACAGCCCTCAAGAGTGGCCTTCCTCTCCTGTCTGCCACTGCCCTGGGCTGATGCTCTCAGGCAGCCCCACGGTCTCTCCTCGGGGCTTGGTCGGGCTCGGCTCCCTCCTCAACTCTGGTCCAGTAGGAGATGACCATGGTCAAAGAGACACACGCTCCCCAGGGTGGAGGGCTGGAGTCCCAAAGCAGGAATGCTATGTTTTGTTGTTTACTCTAAAGAGCCCTGGAGATTCATTAGGAAACAGGGCATGTGCTCCTGGGACATTTGCAAAATCAAATTTGAAAAAAAAAAATATATATATATATATATATACACACACACACACACATATACATACACACACACACATATACACATGTTCACTGGGGTGTGAGATTAAAACTTGGCGGCAAAAAATATAACCTAGGTTTAGCCTAGCAAAAAAAGAGTCAATCTGAGGCCAAAAATCACTCCTTGGGCATCCTTAGGCATTCCACACCAAAGCCTGGACCAGACGGCGAGGAGGCCAAGAGGAGGCTATGCCCCAGCGTCCTGGGGTGGGAAGAGGGGCCCTCAAGGCGCTGAGTCAGATGGGGTCCAAGGTGCTGCTGATTCAGAGGTGAATGAGACAGGCACGCTTGCAGCTGGCGGAGGTCAGCACCTGAGCAAGCAAATAAATAAATATAAATTATAGTAGACAGCAGCTCAGGTATTTAAAGTAGACCAGCTTTTGAAACTTTTCTGGTGCCTATGCTGAGCTCTGATGGATGGAAAAGGGGCTGGTTCTTGAGCACAGGCCCTATGAAGGCTCAGAAGCTGGGAATACAGAAGCCTCTATTCGGGCCAGGGAGGTGTTTACAGACCAGGCTGGTTTTAGGAAAATGCTCCCATTCCTTAAGAAAATTTGGAGCAGATGATCTCAGGGAACGGTTGCTGGGCCCGGGAATGCATTGTGTAGTGTTTTTTAACAGCCAGGACAGAAGACAGCAACAGGCAGGAAGAAGGCAGGACAGAGAGAGAGGGTGAGGGGCCTGTCTCCATTTGCATAGCCAGGCATCCTCAGAAGGCACAGCCTGGGGTGGGCAGGGCTCAGCTGGGTGGCTATGCGGCTGCTCCTCTTGGTGCTGTTGGGGGAGAGAATAACTTCTAGAGTGAGAGCACCCCTCAGGCAGGGAGATGGAAATCATCCTGAACGTGGGGGGAGATTTTCCACAGGAAATACTGGGGGAGGCGGCAAGGCAGTCAGGCTTGGACCCTGGGGGTCCTGGGAGACCCTTGCATAGGGCCCAGGGTGGCCCTCACGCTTGTCCTGGGAGGACTGACCAGGCTCGGGTTCTCTGCTCTTACCCACTAATTCCAGACCTTCAGGAGGGTCTGTGACATCCATGTTTGACTTCTGCTCATGGTCCTGGGGGGTCCAACAGGCAAGTGGTGAAGGAAACCTGGCCAGTGGGTAGTGCTGGCTGAGACCTGGGGGCTGGGACTCCCATGAAATCTCAGAAGGGCAGTACCCACAGTGGGTCGGAGTGTGCTGGCGGGGACAGAAAGGGAGCAGTGCTCCCGCAGAATCCAGCCCGACTTGGAAGGAGGAAGCCTCACTCCCCAGGGGACACAGTGTCTCCCAGACCTTCTGTGCACTCAGCCCAGGGCCTGGTCAGGGCCAGGACACCAACCCAGCAGACCTGGGCGAGTTCTCAGGGAGCAACTGATATGGAGCCCACAGGGCAGGAAGGAGGGAAGCAAGGGACACCCAAGGTGGAGCCAGGGCGTGGGAGTGGGACTTGGCACGTCGTCATCCTCGAGACCCTGACTACTGTGCTGTGAATAATGGGGTCCCTCCCAGCCGCCCCAGAGTGCAACCCTGCGCAGCAGAGGGGAGCCTGTGAGCGCAGCGAGTCATGCCCCTCTAATCTGGGACCAACACACTTTCCTTTGGAGTTTTAAGTGTTTTCCGAAGTTGGCCCACACATTTTCTGCCCATCGTGGATTCTGTTTATTCATAGATTCATACAGATGGGGTACCTCCAATCTTTTTTAGAAGAAAGGTGAGATATAAATAAAAACGTATTAAGGCTGTATATCCATGATCGAAACCATACTTGAAAGTGCAACATGCTACTCAAATCCATGAGAGATTATTGTGTAACTATTGTTGAATTGAGCCTGCTCTATTTGTAATGAATTGACTGAAAGTTTCTCTGTACAAACGGTATAAGATAATAGGATCTTCAAGCTGTCAGATAAAAAAAGGCTTATTGAAATACCTCCCTTAGCCCTTGCTTGTAAGCCACATACTTTACTAGGATAAATGGCATGAATTTGGCTTATTTTTATGAAGAAGAGATTCATACCTGTTGATTCTGCATATTGTGACTGTTTTTCTTTCCTTTTCTGCCTTCTCTGCATCTCTGCGATTCTTTAGACCACTGTCTGTCATTACAACCCCAGGCTTAGCACAGGGACTGGGATGGAGGAGGGGATGGAAGATGCTTATTGAATGTTTGGTGAAAAACAAAGTGGGAAATAAGCATATGAGTGAGTTGTGGGGTGAGGGGAGGCTGTGAGGGAGCGTGACCTCCCCTCCCGGCACCTCCAGCGTCCAGGGACAGCCACAGAAACAGAAGAGTGACTAGTGGGAGGGAGGGCACAACACAGGCCTCTGAACACGAAGACTCTGTGTACACAGGGGGAGTGGAAACGGAGCATGTCTGTGCGTAAGGATGCGGTGCGGAGCAGCGGTGTCCTGGCTGGAGGCTGAGGGGGAGTGCGAGGGTTATGAGCAGCTTGGAGATTCTCTCCCACTCCTGCTGGCACAGGATGAGGCCACATGAGGTTTGACAACAGCGGTGGCTTTCAGCTGAAGAAAACCCTGGGTGGGCACACAGGCGTGATGGCCAGCCGAGTTCTGTGTCTGTTTTCTTTCCAGCAAACACTGTTTACCCAGCTCAGCCTGCAGGGTGCCCACGGCCCACGAGGACGTAGAAGGGGAACCCGTCCTGTGTGTCAGGCATTTCACACTTGTGGCGATGTGTGTGTAAGCTCTTACCTGGTTCTGTGGGTTCTGCTGAGTTCTGCTTCAGTGTGGAGCTCTGCGGATGTGCAGAAGGAATCAGCTCCTGTTTCTCATCAAGCAGGAAATCCCAAGTTCTCACATAAAGATGAAACTGGAAGATGGCACAACTTTTATAGCCATACTCCAATTGCCAGATCTGGGACAAAAAAAAATATGTAACAGAAAAATATATGGTAAAATGACATTTCGTGTGTTTTTTTGATTAAGCAGTCAGAAAAGTCCCCATGAGTGACAGAAGGTGCCTAAGAAACAAGCTATTGTATTTGGTGAAAAGGCTTCACTGATCTCCAAGTTTTGCAAACGGGAAAAAAATATATATACGTAGCTGTTAAGAACAACTTAGAAATCCCAGTCTGCGAGGACAGACCCCATCGTACAGGATAACATGGCCAAGCTGACTGTGTTATTGCCTGTCTCAAAGAGTGTTAAGAGTTAGTGACGGGAACTTTCTGGTTTTAATAAAGTGGATTCTGTGCTGAGATCTTGTGGGTTTGCAGGGTTTGGAGGAGGAGATGGCTGAGGAGCGTTGGCCTTGGACATTGTGACAATCTCTTAATCTACCAGCTGGGAATTCCATTGTTGGGAACTGGCGGGGCAGCTTTGTTAAGAAGGAAGGCAGGTGGGAGAGAGAGAGCAGAAAACGGGGTATGAGAAAGTATAGTCTTCATGGTTTGCCAAATTCATGGAGAAGGCAGCAATGGAGTGAATGTGCGGATGTGAAATGGCTCTCAGTGAACCAGAGACTGCTTATTTGGATTTCTGTGAGAGCTGCTGCGGGAAGCCCGCTTCACTGTGGGAAGGACCCGTGGATTGCTGGGAGAGCCCCCTCAGGAAGCCTGCTTCACTGTGGGAAGGATCCGTGGATTGCTGTGAGGCCGCTGCAGGAAGC